CCAGAACTTCGTGACATGTTGAAGTGATTGCCTCCTTAATCCCTTTCCAATTGTTCTCCAATGTTGCGTCCTCTCCATTGTGTAGATCCTGAAAGTCCTGGAATCTATTGGTGAGGGCTATCCTGAATTCATTGAGCTTTACAGTATCCCGAAGAAAGGCCGTATTAAACTTGTGCGATGTTCTCTGTCCCGTTGTCCAGTGCTTCTTTAGCTTCAGTTTCATTTTGGCGACCAGCAAATTGTGATCTGAAGCTATATCAGCTCCTCTCTTGGTTCTCACATCCTCCATGGTCCTTCTGAACTTTTTGTTGATACAGATATGATCAATCTGGTTTTGAGTATTGTGATCCGGTGAAATCCATGTGGCTTTGTGAATGCGTTTGTGCGGGAATATTGTGCCACCGATGACCAGTTTGTTGAAGGCACATAGGTTTGAAAATCTCTCACCATTTTCGTTTCTTTCTCCCAGTCCATGTCGTCCCATGATGTCTTCATATCCAGTGTTGTCCATTCCAACCTTGGCATTCAGGTCTCCCATAAGAATCGTCAAATCCTTTGGTGAACATTTTTCAACGATTGACTGCAGCCTTTCGTAGAATTGATCTTTAACGTCGTCATCGTAGTCATTGGTAGGTGCGTAACATTGGATGACGTTCATTGTAATGTCCTGTTTCTTTGTTTTGAAGGATGCTCTATTGATCCTGATCCATGAAGACTAATTTAACCTAAAACCATTTCCTAAAAGCACGAAGATGATATTTGGTTAGGTTTATTTCATAGACTGATTTCTAGTAGCTTTGGATATTTCTGTAGTTCTTCATCATCCCTGTTGATTTGAGTGACTTTTCTACTTGTACCTTTAGAATGCAAACTATATGAAGGTAGCGGTAACCTGTTACATAACATTAAGATGACGAAAACTGTTATGTCGAGCGTATCGTCCTTCTAATGAATTCGATCCGGAGTCTAAAGGAAATACTTGCACACCCATGGTTAGGAGTCGCATGACATACCAAAATAACAAATCCGATGGGTTACATGCCTTTGATATCGTTGTTAGTCAAAGAATAATTTCGTTATCAAAAGGGACAGAATATGGATTCTTCGTAACGATTCTTAATGATAAAAGTGTGGGCGAATCTGAATTTTCGCTGTTTGGTGTTCATATTATCTGTGGTTTCCTCGAGGAGTGTGGTAGCGATGCCTTGGTAAAATGCTGACATCAGGATGATTAAGCATACTTAATATGTTTTATGTGATAATTAGATCACCAGTGATTCTCCTATCACTCAAGGGGTAATGCTAAAATTCGGATTCCATCTTCTTAAGGTTGACTTTTTAACCCTGTCTCCCATTTAGTTGCTTGTCTATGAAGTCGCTCGGAAACAAACATAAGCTGACTGAATCAATTTCTCTTCACATAAAGTGAGGAGTTATGCTAGCCATGGCTATATGCGCTGTGTAGTTCGAAGTTGTGTTCTGACTCTCCCTGGTTATTAGACCGAGGTCGCGCTCTGAGGAGACATTAGGGAGTAAACTACTATTGAGTATTTAAGTTGTTAGTGTCACGTGTGCCAGAATGTTCATGATGTCACATTTCGGCTGGTTACGTTTTGACCCTTTGTCCATTTTCCATTCCTCTATTGTTGTAAGATCCAAATGAGGCTCATTTGAATCGTGGACGCTAATTATGGGATTGATAGTAAAGATTTCAGCCATCTGGTAAGATCTTCGCCATTTGGACTTTATAGAATATAAACACCCTTGTTTGTAAGTTTTCTTTTAGCCATGAAATTGGAGAGATATTTTGGATGCCCTTGTATCTTGGCTCCTCACCTCGTCTGGAACTGTATTTCATGGCTTCGAACTTTGGAAATGTATCGTTTTCTCAGTGCTTAGTAAAAACTACAGCCATAACTCTTCAGAGAGAACTTCTGCGCCTTTCAAGCATATCTTTTCGTTTGCAGCAAGCGTTCAGTACCCATGTTCCATGTGAGTGATTTCCCTGAATTACACTACGCAGGACGGCATTTAGAACGATGTCTCTCACATTTGCTAGTGATCATCTGCTGCTAGCTTCCACTTACATGCTAACCATGGGGTGTGTATCAATCGTGTAGGTCAGCGTATTGTGTCAATCATAGGATGAATTGCCTTTACCCCTCAGTATTTTGTTTGAAACCGTGTCAAAGATGACTACGACATTGTTACTTCTATTTATTGGTTTGTTTACATGAAGATCTTTGACTGGGAGCTTATCGTTAGTTGGAAAATAGTCCAAGTTTGAGGTATCCTATCCATACTCCTACTAGTGGCATAGCACAAATGCTCAGCGAGTTTGGATTTTGTCAAGGCTGCGACAAGTCACTTTTAGTACGAACTTGTTGGAGCTGTCTCCTGTCTGTTGAAGTTTAGGGACAGTGTCGATATCTCCATCTAAGAGTATTCAATGAAGCTCTAGTAGCAATAGTAGAATATTGCCTCAATCAGCTTATCTATTTGAACTTTGGTAATCGGGGGAGACCGTTAAATTCCCTCAGTCAAGCATTTCGGAGTATTGGTTTTGAAGCAGCACCAGCATTATTTTGTCTCATTAGTTAAACTTGGGAAGTACAAATCAAAAACTCGAGAAAATTCTTCCTCACTATGTAGGAGCTGATGTGGGGCAGCCTTCTCTTGAATATACACATCGCGGATGGACAGCGTTCCTTCGTTAAGCTTTTAATAAAATCCTAGGTCGCACCGATGTATCTGCAGGAATGAACTTACACCCGCTTTCACATTATTATCTACGTGAACGTTTAAGCTATATCTAATGCGAACTTCTTCATCCTTACGAGTCTTCACTCAGACATCACCATTTGTTGCCTAACCTCTCATGATCATGCATTCACAGCCTGAAAATCCATCATCTGGTTTGGATTGGGCAAAACTTTATCAACAACCATAATTTTGCGAGTTCCTTATCCACTATCATCAGTTTTACTGTCTTCATATTCACTCTGTTGACTTACTACTGATTTCATTTGTAATCTATTGCACCGTTTGTAATTATAATACTCTTACACTTTACCGCTTACTTCATTAAACATGCTTCTGCCAATACATCCTAATAGCTCATATGTCATTTGAAAACCCATATTTTTCTCCATAACTGTAATGCATTGATGCCTTCAGAAGTTGAAACAGCTAGACAGGCTTGTAAAACGGAACCTGAAGATTTAGTGTTTCTCTAATGGATGTGAAATACAGAGCCTTAACTATAACGCAAAATATCATCTTGAAATCACTATCCTACAACATTTTTAACAATTTGCTCTTACCTGTAAACTGACATGCCTCATGTAACTCATATTTATTTGTGAATAAATATCATGATTACTAACAGAAACTGGGATATTTACAGGAACCTATTATTTCGATGGTTCATAACCTCGGTTTGCGGGTTGCTTTTTCTACTGTTTGATCGATCGTTTATTAGGAGAATTAGGTTTTCTAGTAGGGATTGTTGGGTTGATTTGTGATAAGGGCTGTATGCTTCTCTGATACTAATTTCTTCAGGTTCTGTCAGCAAGGTGAAGGGATAGAAGAACGGCAAAAGCTTGTCATAAAAAAGCTGGGCATGATCAGTTACCAGCAGGTGTTTTTGAGCTTCATGAAAACGCTACAAGATGACTCAGGAAAACATCTATCCGATTTTCATTAGAGGTTCCTCCAGAAGTAGCATACCACAAAGTGGACAACTATAAACGTGATCAAATGAGTCACAATCAAATCCTTCATACACCTCCTACCATCAAGCGTATCGCTACGATTAACCCTACTCATATTCCGTTATCGCCTTGCGCCACTAGTGCAAACGATTCGATTTCAAAAAAATAATTCTTGGTCTCCTGAAACCCCATTCTAAGCTACATGTCGAAGCTTTTACTGTCCAGAAATTACGTCAAATCGATCAAAAGGTTTCCCTAGCTAGGACTCTGAAATCTCACTCCATCGATGTATGCTGTGCCTCCGAAACGCGCATACAGGAACCGAGTACAGTGATTAAATTGACTTCACCTTGTTCAAATAAAGAACCAACTCGGTTTACGCTCTGCGTATCCGGAAGCCCTGCTGCTACTTGCCGTGGCCTCGCTGACGTAAGCAAATCATTAAGTCTTAGGGCAGAACCAGCGCTCTTAGACTGGATCCCTATGCGTTGTCCGACTAAATAGAACAGTAGGGACTCGGAAAGATAGACAAACTCGCCATTGCCTCTTCGCCGTCTCCGCATACGCCCCCATTGACTGCAGATCGGACAAGATAAAAGACGGATCTTAGAGAAAGCTGTTGGACCTCCTTCGAAACGTTAGGCTCTCCAATGTAGTAATAGAGGCTGGTGAATTTAATGCTCAAGGAGGTAGACTAAACGAGAAGGAAATATGTTTAAATAAACACAACGGAGTTGATTCCTGGAATCGCATCGGTACTTCCTGAAGAGGGACTAGTTAATTTGAACCGATTTCCCCTTCCATGATGGACGACCAGAGGTAACTTATTAACAGATTTTAAATCACTTATAATAAATTTTTATCTGGTTTGCCCTAATTTTTCATGTTCACTGAAACAGAGAATTTATGAGCACATTCTGAAGAAGTTCGCAAGACCCAAGTAAATTAATTGCCACGGACTTTTCCATTGAATCGTTAAAGAACACTTTTTGAAGACCCATCAATCGATCCATTCAGGGGAAAGCTAGAAGGAATGAGAGATTAGGATTGTTAGGACTAACACAATCTCCTCAATCTTCAGTCCTTCCTAAAATAAAAACTGGTCTCCAAATAGTCGTTTGATCAACATTACTTTAGTCTATGTATTATTTAGTGACTCCATTACCTAGAAAATGACCGTAAATAATGAGTGAAATGCATTTAGTAGCCTTTCGAACAAATATTTGATCTCCGCTCCATTTTACAGTAGTAGAAAGGATCATTCCTGCTTCGTTCTGACTGATCCTTACATTCAAGGTCGAAGCGCTGAACGGCGGTTCAGTTTATCCTTAGATGTTCCTTATGGTAAAATTTTTCGTAATCATAGTGGTTGCTAAGTTAGCGAATCCAAAGTTAAAAAAACATCGTTCCTTTTAACTAGTGTCATGCTTCCTATGGTCAGAAAATGGTTTCGGCGAATATAATAATATTACCGAACCTCTACGAATACATTTTATGTGCACTCAAATCAATGCTGGTTCTCAGATTAAATTTACGATATCTAATCTCAACAACAAGTTTCTTTTTTCTGTAAACATCATGTTAAATAGCTTCTCGAATATTGAACTTTTTAGTTCGCTATTGAATCCGGCATACTGCAACGACATTAATATTTTGTTCATTTGCTTTGAAATAATCCACTGTCAGGACCTAGGATTTCTTCTGTCATCTGTTCAACGGTTCGGTGAACTTGTTTTGCAAGTTGTAGAGTTCCATGTTAAGGTGTGTGGCTAGAGTTTTACGAATGCCACTTTCAACCCATGGTTCTTACCTAACGGTGTATGAGTATGTATGTAAGAAGCATTATAAGTTAACTCAAATTCATGTTATACAACAAATCACCGTCTAAACAGGTTTTTCACAAGAGTATTACTTACTTGAGAAATTTATCCATATATACTTTTCAAGATAATTTGGAAACAAGTCTTCAGTAAGAAGGATAGGAGGTTAATTGACCAGTATTAATCTTTGCAGCTGATGATACTTAGATCTAATCTTGCCCTGAATTTATCTACAGGTGCTGATATTACGTGTTATGGTAGGAGGTCCCAGTAATTCACTATTGTGTGCTAAAAATGGTACTCTGGATGCGAATGATTTGATCTGTTTCTTTTCGGATTATCAATCCCAGATGGGAGGAAAAGATAGGAAACCAGCACCAAAAACATCTAGTATACATTAATCCAGTGTTAAATCACCTCGTAACCTACTGCAAGGTAATGGAAATAGATTGAGGCGTCTTGGTTCGTTTTCACAGTAGAGAGGCCATTTACTGCTTGCGTCTTACCCCGCTGAGTTCGGTCTAACAAGTCCGCTCCATACTTGTAATATGACTCGTTGTTCGGATCCTACATGTTAAATCCGGCTTCATAAACGTTGGTTATGTTACCCTCAACATTTCATCTAAGTAATAGACTGATCCATATGGCTGTAAAACCGTTGTCACTCATACTATTATGGTCGTTGCTTATTGTAACTCCAATCTTCATAATCCACTAATTTAGGTAACGCGGGCTTACTTGTGTAATTACGTGTACCAAAGAAGTACATTAACCTTATACAAGCTATCTACTCGAACACTACTGGTCGAGTTAAAGCTTATGGCGAACTGTCATCGGAACCGATTACTTCAAGTGGTGTTTGTCAGCATTGTCCACTCTCTCCATTCATATTCAACTTTTTCATAGATGTGCTTTTAGAAATAACATTATCTTAGTCTGACTTCAGGGTGGACCTTATACCAGGAGACTGGCTTGTTGACTTAGAATATGCCAATGATATAGTTCTATTTGGCGAAGACGCTGACAAGATGCAGTCTTCTGAACACCCTCAACAACAATGCAAGCATGTTCGGGATGTGACTTTCCTCGTCGAGATGCAAAATCTTGCTTCATAACTGGCTTGCTTCGGCACCTGAACTAGTGATAGGGAATGAAGTAATTGATTGTGTCGAACACTTCACTTATCTTAGGAGTCTCATCAATGCTGATAGTCTGGTGACTGACGAACTCTCATCACGGACACAGGACTCGACTGGCTTTTGCCAGCTTGCGTCACTTATGGCATAAGCGAGATATCCATTTGCTAGCCAAAGGATGAGTTTACTGTGAAGCAGTTCACTCAGTCCTACTTTATGGATGTGAAACATGGCCAGTAAGAGTTGAGGATATTCGTGGGTTACTAGTATTCTATCATGTGTCTTCGAAGCATTGTTCGTATATCCTAGGGCAACCGAGTAAGCAATGTAGTCAGTCAATTACAACTTGGAACTTCGAACGTTCGCACGTACGTACGTCAGTTCACGTTGCCATCCAATGATCTTTGTGTTCTCTCAAGTTGTAATCTGAATTCTTCATCACCTCTTTTTCTTTTTGAATTTATTTCACTCATTTATGCTCCTTGAATAATATTTTCCAACCATATTCTGCATTACCGTTAATACTACAACTGTCTTTACCACTAATGGGTTTTAATTGACAATTCCATCTCTGTGCTAACGTAGTATGGCAACCTGAACTGATGTACGTACGTATGAAGTTCTACGTCGTAACTGACTACTATATGTATTACTACCCCGCAAAGATTGACATCCGATGACTGCCTACGCATGCGTGTTTGTATTTTGATTTTAACGATCATTGTCTAAAGAATAGTGGGCATTAATTTTGTCGGCTGCATTTCATTTCACAAAGGTACTCAGCCATCTAGGACAGGTTACAAATTACTCAAGTTTCGGGATCCGAAGCTTGAGTTCGACGTCATCACGTAATGATGATGTTAAGATTCTTAATTCACTGAACACAGCTTTCATCGTGGTTTCGTTTTAAATTTTTTAGATATCTGACAGTGGGTAAGCATCCTGTTTATCTGATTTGGGCTACCACACTCACCTGCTTCATAGTTTTTGATCTTTTCAAGTTTCGCTTTCTCTAACTGATGGAAGAAGACTTGCAACGTAAAGCCATCAAGCAACGTTTGAAGCAGTTTTATGGAAGTGATACAAACGGCTCATTGGTTGATCAAAATGATCCGTTAAATATCGACAGCCCATCCTTTGATCCGCATCTATACTTGGATAAAAGTCTTAAGACTAAAGACCTTTCTGATCTAATATCAGAAGAAAAGGCTCTAACCGATCAAATTCGCAGTCTAGATTCCGACATGCAAACATTAGTATATGACAACTACAGCAAATTCATCAACGCGACCGACACCATTAGAATGGTATGTTTTATTCTTTCTAAAAAAAATTCTTTTCAGATGAAATCTGATTTTAGTTACGTTCAAGAAGAGATGAATTCATTACTTCAAAATATTGCCTCCATTGTTTCAGTTTCCGGTACAATTAACGAAAATTTGGCTGACAAAAGAAAAAAATTGACCACACTGACAACAACCCAGTTAACTCTAAACAAAGTAAGATCAGAAATTCGAATAAAACTAAGACTGTGTTGTAGCTAAATTACTTGGTCGAACTGCCAGTCAGCTTGAGGAAGTATATGAATAAATGTGACTGGGATCAAACTATACTTGATCTTAATAAAGCGAAGTACATTCTTAAGAGCTATTACAATACTCCATCTTTTAAAAACATCCGAGATGACTGCGCTGAAATAGTTTCGGAAATCTCGTCAAAACTGTGGCGTCAATTTGACGAATCTGCAAGTCATTGTTAATTCTATAATCATTTTCCAGAGCGATGTGGCTGAATGTTCTAATAATCTAAGAATCCTGCAGCAGCTTGGCTTCTCGAGACGAAGATTGTCAAGAGGGATATTACGTTTGTGGGTAACAACATTTTTACTAAGTTTGCTTGTTGACATTTATGATATTATGTCCTGTCATACAATTGAGTACCCACCCATGATTTTGTTTAGTAGGTTTTCTTCTATGGCTGTATGGGATAAAAATGATGGCGGAAATCTGGGCTAGTAAATAATCTTGTTCGAACTGGTTACTTCCCTGTTTATTGGGAGCTAGGATTAAGATATCTTGTTCAGTCATTGGTTACAGATAGGCACGTCTCATCAAGAGGAAAGTCTAACTAAATTTTATTCACTTAGACTCAGCGCCTTATGAGACATAGTCATGTTTATTTCACCGTTCTATGATGTTCTAAGTTTGTTAAACTATCTTAAGACTGTTCCTGTTTCGTTTGACTGACCTATTTTCAGTCCCATAAAACTCGTTTTTCTTTTCATGAAGGTTGTAATTGTTGTATTTGCTGTTGGTTTTAAACTAACAATCAACTTATTCTTTCTTTTCAGGGCTAAACGTCAGGTATCACAACGTTTAGCTTACATTAAAACTTTGGTATGTGAAGGGGACAAACCAAATGCTCGCAAGAATGAAACCACTGGTTCCGTCGAAAATATTGAGAATCCATTTCTCAAAGAGCCTCCTCCTGAAGAAATGGTGGGGAATTGTGTATTTACTAACCGGTAACATTTTTGATGAACATGAAATACATTTCAGTGTATCTGAAAAAATGTTCTATATGTTTATTGCTCCTAGGGTAATAGATGTGAAAAGAATAGTTTGAAATAGCTACGTTAATAAGTCACTTATCTGTTGATGTACTTATTTTTGACAGTTCCTATGAATAGCTAACATAAGTATGGGTTGATTAATATTTCCTCATGTCTACTCATAACTAAAACAGTAAATCTTTTTCTACACCAGTAGTCGAATCTTAGGATAAGGCGTCACTTTTATATTTACTGCTACAGTGCATTTACCGTAGAATTCAAAAGAATGGTCAAAGACTTCATTATTCACATGTACCCTTAAATCATGAATCCTTCTATAGGTGCATGCATTTGGTTTCCTTAACCAACTTAGATAAATCAAACTATGGTGAATTATATTCTATTGCTCTGTTTTCACCTTTATGCAAGCTGATAATGCTGATAAATATTAACATAGTTGAAAATTAGGATGATTGACTTGTAGGTTAGTTGAAGTTTTGGTGGTTGATGGCTGTTGATATCTCTTTACTGATTATATGCAGTCGACATGTACTAGTATGCAGAGTTTATGGCGTAAGCTTGATATTTGAATTCTTACCAAACGATCGGAATTCTACTTAATTAGTAATATAGAAACTGTTGTACATCGTATTATGGAAGGAAAATTAGTTAACGGACAAGGTCATAGATTTCCCGTTGACACTGACTGGTTTATTGGCTTTTTGTACAACCCTTTCAAATTATTTTTTTTCATTTTCATTTCATGGATTAACTAAATTGTCAATGTAGAACTATGAGTAATGCAAGCCTGCTTAAACACGTTTTTTTATCGAAAAGAAAATTGTTTGATATTTGTAATGTCGTTTTAAAATTTAGGGTTATTTATTTAAAATCTTTTACTCAGGACGTATTATACTTTGCCAATCTCATAACGGATTCTGTCCTTACCAAGCTTTCCGAATTCGTTGGACTACTGGCTGATTTTTATTTCACAAAGTCAAATGAAAGTGAACCTATGGATACTATTTTGTAAGTTTGACTTTTCAATCGTAAATATGATAGTGTATTGACTTTAGTCATTCATATTGTTAAGACTGTTAGCTACAAACAAGGAATTAGTTAGTGATCAAGTTGTCTGTATTAATTCACCACAAGTTCCGATCAATTGTATCTTTTATTGATCTTAAGATATCACCAGTTTGTGTTGAAATTTCTAGTTACATGCTGATATTTACGCGACCTTCAGCCAAGAAACTCTTTTGTTGATTTCACAGGGATATTATTTCCGGTAAAATAGAAAATAGTGCCTCGGAAATCGATGATGGTTGTGTCGAGGAACATTTATCAAGTGTAGTTGAAGAACTGATGCATGAATTTTTTATTTTGGTTCGAACTCGTTTTGAATTGGAGGTCAGTTTCTTCAAATAAAAGTAATGAAAATTATTTTCAGTATTTGTGCCCTCAAACAGCTTTTAATAATTCATATTTTTAAGTATTTTTGATTTGATTAATTTATCTGTTGTTATGCATATAACTTTATCATCACGTCCATCTATTTAGTGGGGTTATGTCCGATTTCACTAAGCAAAAGTAGTGGAGATAGAGTTATATGTACTTTGTTAAAATCCGTTACATAAATTTACATTGTTGTGATCAGATTTTTTCTATTTTCCAAGCTGTATAAATTTGGGAACACTGAAGATAGCACTTTTAAGAATGGCTACAGCAGAAGTAAGATTTGGCAACAGTTCTCAGATAGCGAACATTTAGGATTAGCTAGATAGAACTGAACCCCAACTTGAGTGACTTGCTGAATAAGATTAAGGATTAAAGTAAAATTGAATACAAAGTTTATGGAAATAAAATCTTACAAGTAAGTAAGATAATATGTCATAGATCCGTTCGTATTTTGAATTCTATATAAGCATCAGATTTTCTTTCTTGTTCTGTCTCTTTTTAAGGAATACTTCTGGATTAGAAGAAGAGTAGGATTTTCCTAGAAGTGGCTGTGAATGTGCATTTTGAGAGCAATGGTGGACTTTTTCCACTCACTAGAACGTGTGAAGATCGCCTCTATTCTCATTCACCTCATATCTTTTCGCACTGACTGATAGTTAATGTCATTTTTATCAAGTGTCTTCAGAACTAACGAAGTATTATATATCGCTATATTTATTGATATACAATCCTTTTCTTGATATCTGTTGATTCTTTGACTTATAGAGCACAAATAATGATATCAATTTATTGATAAGAGCTTTGGATCGTATCCACTGTCGAGTACAAACCTTCAATCGATCACTATTAACATCGGTTACTTCTGTGGATGCTGAAGGTGTAGTAGTGGATGATTTGAGTCCTGGATCTCTATCTGTGGTTAATCGATTATCTTTACTTACTGATGAGTTTTCGAACTCGGCGCTGGAAATAATTATTCAAGTTGCTCGAATGCAAACTACGTATTACTTTGATATATTGTGTCAAAATGCAGTCGAATCGTTTACAGATCTCCGACATAAACTAGCTAGTCACGGATTACAAACATCCCATTTAATTAGCGAAGAGGTTAAAAAAATGTAAGCCAACTTATCAATTTACAGAACAGTTTCTTTTCATAAGAATTACTTCAACTGTAAAGTATGTTTAGAATGGTTGTTTTGATGAATCTCGTCTTATTAATCCAGGCACTGACGCATGCCAATTCTGAAGCAGTATTTTGTATTCTGAGGGAGAAAACCGCATCTCAAACCTGATAGCTTTATTGCTTAAGGTGGCTAGAAAACGGCATTTTATTAACCAAACAGAACTATGTCATCTGCGTATTATAAGTTGACAGCCCGGACGAACTACTTGAAGTAATGAATTCCGATAACAGTTTTCCATTAGCTGTGATTCGACTAGTTCCCGAGTAGAGAGCCCATACGAAGTTAATAAACTTCTTCGGTACGCCTCTCAGTGCTAAAGTGCCACAAAACCTTGCTATCCGCGTAGCCAAATGCCACCTCAAGCTCAAGGAATACGACTACTGTTAGATATCAGAAAGGCATTTTAAGAGTCTCTAGAATCTTATTTACAGAAGATTTTAGTTTTTTACGTTATTCTGGAAACCTACTGTTACAGTAATTTTAGTAACTGACTGCGTTAGCTTCAAAAAGGAAAGGTCCTCATATCGGCCATCGATTCTCAGTTTGATATGTTACAGAAGAGCTTGTTCAGCCTCTGTAGTTCAGTAAGATCTAGGCTAATAATGGTGTTTCCTAGGCAATTCGCAGGTGGTTCATGAAATTGTGTGCTTATAACTGCCAATAGTTGTAAACAGACATCTGTCAGAACTTCATGAACGTTAACTTCTCAGTAAGAAAATAAAACTTTCGCTGTATGTTGTCGGAATAATATACTCTTAATTACACAGCTTAGTAATGAGTTAATACTGATTAGTTTTCAGGGTAATAAAATAAAAAGTAATCAAATAACAGCATGATACACTAACAATTACCAAACATGTACAAAGTAGACCAAACTTGATACTTTAAGTCACGTATATCTTTTGTTTTATAGGAAAAAGACGGAAAATGACAGTCATCAGCTATCGTCTCTTTTAGATGCTCTCAGTTCCTCACTTGTTTCACAGTTGCGCAATGTACTAAAGGCAGAGGAGGTATGCATCCTTTTGTGTTTATTAATTATGTCGAATAATATCTTTCTTTTTTTATTGGAATTCCGGCTACTTTCTGAACTTAACTGCAGTTTCTTCCAGTCACTTCGGGTGGTAGCACTTAGTTTCCAACCATTCAGTTACTGTTATGTATATCTCTCTGTCTTCTGGTATTTGGATATTCATAGTTTATTGGTAGTTGTTACACAGTAGCTTAGCAATATCATTGTGTTGACAGTTATTTGACTTTAAAAGTGTGAAAGTCCATGTTATAAGCTGTAAGCTACATCTGATATTACTTACCTGTTTAAACTGAAGGTAGGATTTGAATCTGTACCTCAGTTATTTAGAGTTAAATATTTGAAACACAACTCATTGTTAACTTGAAAGATGCGAAATATATAGTTTAAGAAATTTCTACTCAGTAAGTAACAGAGTGAAATGCGTATATGGCCACTGTCAGGGAAGTTCCACTCCATTCCCTTCTCGCGACGTGGGTGTGGTTTACGAAATTGAGAGCACGAAAAGCGAAGATTCAGCGCTTAAAAAAGGTTGGTGGATACTCAGAATCCTCCTAGAGCAGTTGGAAAACCCGGATTACAGAACCACTAGTGCTCATAGGTTCCAGTATTTTAAGGTGGTAAACAGCATATAAACCTATTGTTGATCACTAGCTACCATGAGACCGCATCTCCTAACATTACACCACTGCCTTGTGAACTAGACCTTCAGATCTCAGCACACGCACAAATTCACTGATTTGTGTGACGCATAAATATTTAGGTGCCCCTTTGTACCAATAGTTGTGTTTAAATGAAAATAAAAAATCACTTGATTGATATGGAAGCCTTACAAAACCTATCAGTACTTCATATCTATTTTAATAGCGAGTGTAATTTATTCAAGTATGTCGTCTTTATTGGGTTTACTGTATATTGACTAATCAGACGAAGATTGTTCAAATTTATTTCTGTAACGTCACTGACCGTTTAAACACATCAAACCGAAACTAAACTACCCATATAAAAGAAATTCTCATAAGCTTTCGAATTCCTCTGGATTTATTCTACTTAATTTTTATTATAGTTAGCTCTTGGTTTTTATTTGGTTTAAAACATATTTTCTCTTACTCTTGTTATTATCATTACTGTTAGCACTTTATCTGCCGGAGTTGAAGTCCACACAGTCACTAATTTTTAGTGATTTAAATAATTACTGATTTACACCCAGCTAATGATCTTATTGTATTTGTTTCGATTGAAGTTCAGTTAATATTTTAAATCAGCCTTCCAATCCAAATTTGGAATTATTATTCATGTTTGTGATGAAAGCGAGTTGTTTCACCATCCTATTTTTTTTAGTGACTATAGTTGTGTATTTACATAACATAGCAGTAACTGTTTAATAATCTGTCTTATTCATTTTCAGGCTTTTCTTAATACTAAAAGTACATTTTCCAACAGACCACAGTTTCGTAATTCATTTTGTATTGATCAAATTAGAGAAGGACTTATCGTTGGTTACTTGAATTTTCTTGTTCAATTTCTTAATGATCTAGCTAAGGTAAACTCACTTTTGTTGCATGTTTTAGTATGCTAGATTGATGAATATTAAGTAGACGTGTTTTATTTTGAACAATTTCTTTTTCCCACCATTCTAGAAGTAAAAATACCGTAAAACTCAGATAAGAAGTGTCGTTTGCATATACTTTATAGATCGTTTACTCATTGATTTATTTTTTTGCATTATACTTGTGCTTATTTCTAACAATATACTTTTGGTCTCTAGCAGTCTAATCTTGGATGCTTGTTCCTCCTCCGGTCTTTTAACAATGTAGAACTTCGTACGTACGTACACCAGTTCAAGTTGTCATACCACATTGGCACAGAGATGTAATTCTCAATTCAAATCCCACACTAGTAGAGGTGATGAAGGTATTAGCAGTAATCGGAAATTTTAGGGTTCGAAGATATTATTCAAGAAGTAGAATGCAGTGAAATAAACTTATAAGAAAAAGATAAAATGATGAGGAATTCAGAAGGTTAGAATTTGAAAGAACACAAAGAATGAATGCACCTGCGCCATCACAAACGATTTCGATCCATGTCGTTCAAGGTCTCTAACCATCACCTATTATCGTCTCGTGGTAGTCGACACCTACCGACATGACTCAGTCCACTTGTCAGTGATTTCATGGATTTCTGCCATGTTATGGTCTGACCGCCCCTAGATTTCTTCCAACCTATTCGTACACTACAAAACAGCTCGACAAGGCAGTCGGTAGTTGGGCATACGTAACGGATGAAGTTTCAACACTTCATCTATTAACCTGCTATCCTTGCCTAGGACCCGTTTCCTAACAACAGCATTGCTTGCTCGGTTGTCCCACGATACTCGAGCAATGCTTCGGAGAAACCTATGATCAAAAGTAAGCAACCGACGAATATCTTCTACGCTGACTGGCCAAGTTTTACAGCCATATAGTAAGACGGAGCGAACTACTGCGCAGTACACTCCTTTAGTCAGCAAACGGATATCTCGCTTACGCCATAAGTGACCCATGTTGGCAAAAGCTAATCGCGCTTTCTGTATCCTTTCTGAGATTTGGTCACACACTGGGCCATCAGCACTAATGAGACTCCCAAGATAAGTGAAGTGGTCAACATGCTCATTCCCTATCACTAGTTCAGGTGCCGACGCAAGCCAGTCCTGAAGCAGGATTTTGCATTTCTGCGGGTAGAATCGCATCCCGAACATGCTTGCATTGTTGTTGAGGGTGTTCAGAAGATTGCATTTCGTCAGCATCTTCATCAAGTAGAACTATATCATCGGCATCTTCTGGATCAACCAGTGAATCTCCTGGCATGAGGTCTACTCCTGAAAATTCAGAGGAAGATAGTGTTATATTTAGAAGCATGTCGTTGATAAAGTTGAGTAAGAATGGATAAAATGGACAATATTGACAAACACCACTTGAAACAACCAATTCCGATGACAGTTCGCCGTAAGCTCTAACCCGACCATTATTGTTCGAGTAGAGAGCTTGTATAAGGTTAATGTACTTCTCTGGTACACCTTTTAATGTCAGGCACTGCCACAGAAACTCATGATTAAAACTATAGTGGGACGTCTAAATGTATGTCTTTATTCTAGGACCTGTCGAAGTATGAAAATCTGGTCCATACAGCCACGTCCAGGTCAAAAGCCAGCCTGGTTTTCTCTAGTCTGCTCTTGACGAGCTCTAGTTAGGCATCTAAGGATAATCGAGGCCAACAATCTAGAAACTATATTAGTTAGACTGATTCCTCTGTGATTGTCACAGGAGGACTTCCGTCCCTTCTTATGTGATTGAGACCAGTCGCATAGGATTACGTCCAGTTCACAGATTCTACCCAAGATCTCAGTCAATCTAGCTGCTAAAACTGGCCCACCATCCTTAAAAATCTCAGGGGTCTACCTATCAGGACCCACTGCTCTCCCTCGCTTCAGATTTCTTATCTGTTTCTCAACTTCATAAAGATTCGGAGGACTTATGTCGGTTTCCCATACAGGATGACTGGAGATCGTGGGCAACTGAAGTGTGGCTGAAGGCCAGTTGAACTGATCTCTGAAGTGTTCTGCCCATCTATCCAATCTCCTAGATTGAGAATGAATAATAAGGTCATCCTTTCCCGAGATAGTTTCATTCACATTCTGGTTCCTAATACCGGTTTCCTTGATGCGTCTGAATAGTTGCCTACTGTTGCCTATCGCCGTTGCCTTTTCCATCTCCCTTGCTTTCGCTACTCACCACTGTTCTCGATCATTGTGAAGGCTTTATATCAGCCTGTGCCTGATCTGACTCCGCTCCTCATCGTGCTCAGAGCCAGGTGGGATGAGCTTTCGGGTATCCATCATTTCGGTAGGTGCTACTGAAATCCACGGTTTCTTCCTAACCTTATTGTTTTCCTGCTTTTTCCACAGCCTTTTTGATATCATTCCAAGCTGCCTCAGGGTGGGCATCACTTACTACGTGGCTGCTTAACTGTTTTTCTAGTTGTTCCTGAAATATATTCTTAGCTTTATTATCATTAAGTAGAGCCTTAAGAGGTTGCCTTGCGATATTTTTCTTGCATCCAATAGGGCGCAAACAAATACGCGCTCGCACTAGAGCATGGTCTGAGTCTAAAAAGTGCTCCAGAATGAGCGGCAGTCTTCAACAAAGCCTCTCCACCAATGGCTTATAGCGATGTGATCTGGTTGGGTCCATCGTTGGGTCGTCTTTGGGGGGTCGCCAGGTCAAAAGGTGTTTTACCTTTTGCTTAAAGTTAGTGTTTGTTAGAAATAGGCACTTATCTGAGCACAGTTGCATCAGGCGATTACCATCATCTGTTCTATTAGATGCGACACCATAACATCCACTCAGGTATCTTTTCTTTCCGCTGAGTTTACCTACTTGAGCATTGAAGTCGCCAGCCATTAGTACCATATCAGAGCACCTAGCTTTTTGAAGAAGTCAAGAGAGGTTTCCGTAAAACTTGTCTTTTTCGTCGTCTGAACTGCAGTCAGTGGGAGCGTAGGGAGACACAACAAAGAGGCAACTGCAAGTGTTTAGAACGGGGTTTCAGGAGACAGACAGACAGATACAACGCAGAACTTCGTATATAAGTACATCAGTTCACGTTGCCATACCATGTTAGCACAGAGACGTAACTGTCAGTTCAAATCCAAGAGTGATAGCGATAGTAGAATTTTAGCAGCAATGGAGAAGATTAGGGAGCGAAGATATGATTCAAAAAGTATAATACAGTGAGATAAATTTAGAGGGAGAAAGATAGAGATTATGAGGAATTCAGATGGTTAGTGTAGGCAGGTACGACGAGGATGCAATGGAGAGTTTCCCTATCTTTACGAGTCCTTACTGTCCCGTTTAGTAGGACAGCGCAATAGCGACCATCTACTGAGACCCACTCTAGGAGAGCTAGTTCTGCCGTACGACTCAATGTTATACCTACGCCAGCGAGACCCCGGGAAACAGCAGCAGGGCTTCCAGATACGCGAAGGGTTCTTTATTTTGACAAGGTTTGGCAAGTTCGTTTTTTCCGGGATGTGGTCGCCAACCCCCAATCCCAAGCCTCCTCCTTTGTCCTGACTTGGGACCGGTAGTAGCCATGAAGGCTCTACAGGCGGAGTTTTTAAGCAATATTACCTTTGTTCAAAGGGTTAGTAAACTTCCATTGCTTGAGTTCCGCTGTCAGTGGTTGCTAAAGTGTTATCAGTCTGTTATCTTCAACGATAGATTCACTTGTTCACAGAAAATATCTCATACCTAGCTGATCTCAAGTACTGCTAGAAGAGTATGCGCCCCTGTCGATTCCCCGTTACCCTTACTAACAAAGGATGTGCAATACTTGCTTACATAATCTGTATATTCACTGGTGACTTTTTAAATTCTCTTCATTTTTTTCTTTTTTTTCTTGTGACATGATGTCTCTTGTTTTTTTCAGACAGATGCATGCAAAATTCCAGGACCTATTTTACTTACACTTGGGAAACTATGTTTAATATGGGCCGATTCTGGTACAGTTGGACATTTGATTTCGCTAGCCGACGATTTTATGCTTATCGGTAATGTTTATGTATTTGTTGTATTAATTATGACCCCTATAATTAAATATGAAATAAGCTGACATTTATTGATAATAGTTATTTACTGGACAGGTCAATGAAATGAATTCTTGAATGATGTGAAGTTAATTTTTCATCATTAATTGACTTTTAATTAGAAGCCGTAGAAGAATACAGTGTGCTGAATAAGTGTTTCATCTTACTCTCACAATCCCACAGACAGTATTTTACAGTTTCAATATGTGATAGAGTTTTTTCTTAGTTTGCAATCAATTATTGTTTGTATGCGTATAATAGTGTAATCGATTGTCTATTTAGGGATTGAACATTCTGTTTATTATATGACACGCCACTCAATAGTATGCGTTTGTTAAAACTAAATTGATATAAAACATGAACTCTGATTTGACTGTAGGAATCTATTCATCTAAATTGGTGAGTCACAACTCAATAGAAAAGGTTAGTCTATTTCATTTATATTTGAGAAAAATATATCACATTGGTCAGTCTATTAATCTAATCTTTAGTGACAGTGATGATTCAATAGGTCTTCAATGAACATATTATGTACGTAGATTCTATCTATTTTATAATGTAAGTAGCTAATTAGCTTCATTAGGGATAAAATTTTAGCAATCTAGGATCTAAAAGTTTTTCGAGTTGCTGACCGAATTATTGTATGTATACGTTTCCAATACTGAGTACAATATAAATACAATCAGTTTGTTTACTTGTTAATTATCACATGTTTTTCCAGGTTCACAAACAAAAGAATCTAAAAAGGATGATTTTGAAACGGACAATGGTAGTAGATTACTCACTACTGCGAAAGATGTATCAAATCGTTTCAGACGTACTGGTAATGAACTTCTAATTGCTTTTGTCCGCTTAGAAGGGACAAATTTGGCACAACTTCTCCGGAAAAGTGTTGAAGCAAGAGATTGGCTGAAAAACTTAGAACCACGTACAGTTCGTTCTGCAGTTAAAAGAGTGATAGAAGATTTGGTGTTACTAGATCAACAAGTAGGTAAAACGATATCGAATTTTGATTTTCAACTTATCAAGGTCATTCATTTTCACTTGGCTATATCACATTTATTGTTTACGTAGAGTATATCCTCGTTTTTTTTTCTAACTATTGACTTTGTTTTATTCGTTAGTCAATGTTTTTAGTCCCCTCTCTTATCTAATTATGAATTATGCGCATATACTAATTTTTTTCGATTTATGTTTAGGTTAGCCAGCTGTTTTCATCCAATACTCGTAATCGCGATCGTATTTCTGATTCACGTTCAAGTCGTAGTCTACGACCTAGCACTTCGTCACATTTTATAGACGCTACACGAACTGGAAGTTCAAGTCAAGGAATTCATGCTGATTTAGATCCAACTCTAGCTACTCATTTACGTCGTCTGTTTACACAAAGAGTTGATATTTTTGCTGCAGTTGATGCTAATCGGGAATCATTACTCTTGGGTGTCATTAAAATAGGTTTGAAGGTTAGCCATGTTTTCACTTTCAAATGTTCCACATCATGTTTATTGTATTTTGTAATCAAGTGTAATCATTTTGTAATATTTGAAAAAGTTGTCAACAAGGTGAGTAAAAGGCATTCATTTCCTCATCTATTGAGTTTGATGTTCTTTTCCTTTCGATCGGGCTATACTTAAAAGTTTTGGACTGAAATTCAGTACAATTTAAAAGTTAGACTGTGCCAAGAGTCGACTAAATAAATCCACTCCGTGTTTTCTGTTAAACCGCTATAACCTCTGATTAGTAAATACTTATAAATTCACATGGTGGGAGGTCAGTAGATTTTTGCCGTACTCATCGACTTAGTTTTTTAGCTTAATTGAGAACTGAGCCAGGCTGTTTAATCATTATGAAGTTCAGTACGTTAGAATCATTTCCTGTGGTACATTTAAAATACTATTGACGTGTAGTCGTAGAGAATTTGCTTAAAATAGTTAAATTTAATTAATAACGTGAGGTCTGTTTTGAATATTTTATTGATATAGACGTGATCGGCCTGGCTTTCTGAGTGTGAAACCCGTGTATCTTTGTGTAGGAGTTTACGGACGGTACTGTTGCCACCTAAACTATATTATCAAAAGCAGATTTATTTACCAGTCTCTCACCGTTCCTGTCCCTTTCCCCCAGTCCGTGTCCCTTCCTGCTGGGTTTATGTTTAGTGTTTTCTATCTGGAATATAATATGTAGGTCCCTCATAAGAATGGTAAGGTCTCTTACTGGTCGTTTCTGTGGTAGCCTCTCCTGAAGCTGATCTTTGTCATCTTCTCTCCTGTGACTGGTGTGTGCGTCACAGTCATTGTGACCCTTCCCTTTATTTGCTTTGATGTTCCTGAATCTTTGCGTTTCTTAAGACAGAATCAGTGCAACTTCTTGTGTGTGGGACGTTTTCTACCTCATGACCACCATATCATAACGGTTCTGATCAAGTTAGTCTTTTTTTTTTAAAGGTCCTTTTTATGAGGTAGTGTTGCTAATCAGACACCCAAACCTTCTTGTTTATCCAAGTTTGGGACTGACTAACCCTAGAGAGTTCTAGGTGCAATTTATTCCCAAACGATGTTCGTATAATGTTTTCTGACAGGTTACTAGTTTAAAGTCATAGTGTAGTGAACGAGAACACAGGTGGGGCAACCGGATTGTATTTAATGGAAGTTACAGAATTACTCAGTAAAATAGGAAAACCATATCGTAAATCGTTAATTTGCAAAATATCAGTTCATCATATCGAACTGGACTGTTCCTGTTGCAAAACATCAATCCATTGTCACTATTCGTGCGTTTCATACAAATTCCATTGTGTTCTAACTCTTCCTTTCTTGATCTTCCCCCATCTGCTGCTGCCAGACATTACGTTGACACTCACGTCATATACTACTTATAAGTAGCTCGCACCACAATAGTATGATATGTATTTATAGACGAACTATTCTGTTAGTTGAAGCGTACTTTTATCGAACGTACAGTTAAGTTTACTTACGCCTCCTAGATTTAAACAGCCGTTGCAAAGTAAGCTTATATCGTTGGATTGCCGTAACATACTTACTTACTTACGCCTGTTACCCCCAATGGAGCATAGGCCGCCCACCAGTTTTCTCCAACCAACTCTGTCCTGGGCTTCCCTCTCCAGTTCTGTCCAATGTTTGTTCATTCCTCTCATATCTTTCTCTATTTCTCGGCGTAGTGTGTCCCTTGGCCTTCCTCTTTTCCTTTTGCCTTGAGGGTTCCATGTGAGGGCTTGTCTCGTGACGCAGTTGGGTGCTTTTCGTAGTGTATGTCCTATCCACTTCCACCGCTTCTTCCTGATTTCCTCCTCCACTGGAATCTGACTTGTTCTCTCCCACAGTTCGTTGTTGCTGATGGTGTCTGGCCAACGAATACGAAGTATTTTACGTAGACAGCTGTTAATAAACACTTGTATCTTCTGAATGATGGCTTTGGTAGTTCTCCATGTTTCCGCTCCATACAGTAGAACTGTCTTGACATTTGTATTGAAAATCCTGATTTTGGTTTTGGTTGAAAGTTGTTTGGAGTTCCAGATATTTTTCAACTGTAGAAATGCAGCCCTCGCTTTGCCAATCCGCGTCCTCACATCTGCGTCCGATCCACCTTTCTCGTCGATGATGCTGCCAAGATATGTGAAGGTGTTAACGTCCTCCAAGGTATCTCCATCAAGCGTGATTCGGTTGGTGCATGTTGTGTTGCATCGGAGAATTTTGCTTTTTCCTTTATGTATGTTGAGACCTACTGCTGCAGAGGCTGCTGCTACACTGGTCGTCTTCTCTTGCATTTGTTGTTGAGTGTGCGATAGAAGAGCCAGGTCATCTGCGAAGTCCAGATCGTCCAGCTGCGTCCTAACTGTCCAGTTGATACCGTGCTTCCCTCCAGATGTTGACGTCTTCATAATCCAGTCGCTGACCAGGAGAAAGAGAAAGGGTGAGAGTAAGCAACCTTGCCTCACACCGGTCTTCACCTCGAAAGAGTCTGTCAGCTGACCTCCGTGCACGATTTTGAAGTTGAATCCATCATAAGAATTCCGTATGATGTTAACTATTTTCTCATGGCACACCGTAGTGTCGAAGAAGCCTCCACAGTGTTTTCCTATCCACGCTATCAAATGCTTTCTCGTAGTCGATGAAGTTGATGTAGAGTGGTGAGTTCCATTCAATTGATTGTTCCACAATGATCCGTAATGTAGCAATTTGGTCAGTACATGATCGATCCTTACGAAATCCGGCCTGTTGATCTCGAAGTTGGGCGTCTACGAAGTCCTTCATTCTGTTTAACAATACCCTGTTGAAGACTTTGCCTGGTATTGAGAGAAGAGTGATGCCTCTGTAGTTCTCACGCTTGCTGAGATCGCCTTTCTTTGGTATTTTGATCAGGTATCCTTCTTTCCAATCTGATGGTACTTGTTCCTCATCCCAAATCTTCTTGAAGAGAATGTGAAATATTTTCGCAGTTGCTTCCACATCTGCTTTCATTACCTCTGCTGGAATGTTGTCTGGTCCTGCTGCTTTGCCGCTCTTGATTTGTCTGATGGCTATACTGATCTCCTCAATCGTAGGTGCGCCAATATTAATTGGGAGGTCCTTGGATGCTGCTTCGATGTTGGGTGGGTTCAGTGGAGCTGGTCGATTCAATAGTTCCTTAAAGTGCTCCACCCACCTATTTCGCTGTTCGTCAGTGTTGCTGATTATTTTCCCTTCCTTGCTTTTCACTGGTCGTTCTGGTTTACGATAGTTCCCGGCGAGCTTCTTTGTTGTTTCGTACAATTGTCTCATGTTTCCTTCTCTTGCAGCCTTTTCCACCGTCATTGCTAGATCTTTCACATATTTTCGTTTGTCAGCTCTGATGCTCTTCTTCACTTCCCTGTTTGCTTCTGTATACTCGGCTCGCGCCGTAACTTTCTCTGCTGTTGTTTGGCTGACATTGATTGCTGCCTTCTTGTTCCTCCTTTCTTCAATTTTTGCAAGAGTATCAACAGAGATCCATTCCTTGTGATGGTGCTTCTTGCGACCAAGGACCTCCTGACATGTTGAAGTGATTGCCTCCTTAATCCCTTTCCAATTGTTCTCCAATGTTGCTTCCTCTCCATTGAGTAGATCCTGAAAGGCCTGGAACCTATTGGTGAGGGCTATCTTGAATTCGTTGAGTTTTACGGTATCCCGAAGAAAGGCTGTATTAAACTTGTGTGATGTTGTCTGCCCCGTTGTCCAGTGCTTCTTTAGCTTCAATCTCATTTTGGCGATCAGCAAATGGTGATCTGAAGCTATATCAGCTCCTCTCTTGGTTCTCACATCCTCCATGGTCCTTCTGAACTTTTTGTTGATACAGATATGGTCAATTTGGTTTTGAGTAGTGTGGTCCGGTGAAATCCATGTGGCTTTGTGAATGCGTTTGTGCGGGAATATTGTGCCACCGATGACCAGTTTTTTGAAGGCACATAGGTTTGCAAATCTCTCACCGTTTTCGTTTCTTTCTCCCAGTCCATGTCGTCCCATGATGTCTTCATATCCAGTGTTGTCCATTCCAACCTTGGCATTTAGGTCTCCCATAAGAATCGTCAAATCCTTTGGTGAACATTTCTCGACGATTGACTGCAGCCTTTCGTAGAATTGATCTTTAACGTCGTCATTGTAGTCATTGGCAGGTGCATAACATTGGATGACGTTCATTGTAATGTCCTCTTTCTTCGTTTTGAAGGATGCTTTAATGATCCTGGGTCCATGAGATTCCCATCCTATTAGTGCCTTTTGTGCATGTTTGGACAGCATCAGTGCAACTCCTTGTGTATGTGAAGCGTTTCCCTCTTCATGACCAGAGTATAACAGCAGTTCCCCTGAAGCTAATCTCAGTTGTCCTACTTGTGTCCAATGCGTTTCACTGATGCCGAGCACCTCGAGGTTGTATCGTTTCATTTCTGCCGCAACTTGAAATAGTCTTCCAGTCTCCCACAATGTACGAACGTTCCATGTACCTGAAAAAATGGTTGCTCTGGTTGTCAGAAGAGGCATCGGCCCCGTGACTTCCGATGGGACTCGGCTTTCATCACGAGACGTCATAATTCTTCTTCCAACTCCCAGGGCAGAGTTAAAATGGTTTGAATTATTTTTTCTGGTTAGCGTTTTTGTAGCAAGTTGGATTCCTACGGGTTGGGGTCGCCAACCACATATCTAACCTTCCTTCTTTATCCAGGCTTGGAACCGGCAGTAGCCCCTAAGGTTCTACTGGCGGAGTTTGGATTGCCGTAACATAGAATGTTTTACATGGAATAAGACTTGATTCATTCAATCTGATACAGTATAAATGAAAACTATTACCAGGATCCATTTATAGCTTGTTGCACTTTGAATTTTACTGGTATTCTACTAGTATAGATCACTGACAAACGATTTAAGATTCGAATGTTAGAGTTTTCGATGGATTTCACTTATTAAATGGCTAAGTGCGTGAAATCTTCCAGCTTTACAATTACTTTGTTTTTGAAAATGTATATTGCTTCACTTAACAATTTTTCTTTATTTGACTAGTGAACCCACTATCCTTCAACTAATTCGCATCAAAAAATAAATTTTTTAATTAATTTACTTACTCAATTTCAAATGATTTAGACTTTGATAGAGTGTTCACGCTTACAAACCTTTGGTCGTTACGGTTTACAACAAATACAAGTTGATTGCCGATACTTACAAATTCATTTATGGCACTTTGTCAATGATGAAAAGTAGGTAAAATATAATTGGTTAGATGTGTTAATAAAACTATATCTTTATAATGAACCCTAAGTACTGTCATGGTTCGCCTTGCATTGGGTTTTTGGATGCTTGGAAGCACGACGAATAGTTGTGGCATCTATTTTCGATATTCTGGTCCACTGAAGGCCGGTAAGCATATCTTGGTGCTAGAGATTTCATCTTGTTCATTTCGGAATAACCGTGATGGAATTTTTTAGAAACCTTTCTATGTAACATTCTAGGAACAATGATCCTATCACCGAACATAATACGTGAGTCGACGATCATTATTGAGTTACTCCGGCGAAACTATTGCTGCAGTTCACCTTGAAAACGGCAGTCTGGCCATTTTATGACGTATAAGACGCGTTTGAAATGGTTAACGTTCTCTATCATCGAGGTATCTTGTTTCAAACTCGCCAGGCTACAGATAAATTCGAGGTTTTCTATCATAGACGACAGCCTGAACCTCTTGCGTTCTCACTTCAAGATTCCTGCATATTTTACCCAGCCATCTGTCTCCGTCATCTTCAAGAGACAACTGTTCTCTGAATATTTGAGACAGGGTTTTAATGTAGAACAATTAGTCCCTTTGATAAATCTGGGTAGTGTAGTGAGAAGACGAAGATAATCAGAACTATGTGAAATATCAGCGCAACACATTTTGAGCAATCTGTTCATATATATACTTGTTATGAACATTTATACGTGAAAATAAAAGGTCAACTAGACAAATAGAGTGTAAGGTTAAGAAAGGAAATCAATGTGAAAAACATTGCAAAACTCACGTTCCTCAAAAGAGCATTCTTTTGAAGTTCACAAAACCACCGCGTGGATTAGTTTAATGTGGGAATCACAACCCTGAAGATCTTGGCGCTCAAGTCTCGCATCAGGACCAAGTGTGTGTTACACTCATATCAGGAACACATGAGTTTTCACCTCATATATCTAGTGACATATCGTAGTGTATATACTTATATATGTCGAGCCCACAGGACTTGTATCAGCCTTTTGAAAATTCAATCAATCCATTCTTCCTGAATTATTCACTCGTCTTTTGACCTTGTTAATCATTCCTTCATATCTAGGTCGTTTTTTAGCATGTGCGTGTATGTGTACTTCGCATATTACATATCTGACTATAAAAACTTAGTTACGGTTCATCGCTTTGAGTTCGCTCACTCGCCTTCTCCACTTCGCTTTGCTTTGGTTACCCAGGCAGTTAGGTATACGTTATATTCACACTAGAAACTCGGATTTCCACCCATGCATCCCTTGGCATGAATATAGGTATAAGTGCTCACTGGGAGGGAAGATGGTTACCACTTCCATGAACGTACTAGCTACCATAGAATCTCTCATGCGTTACTTCATACCACTGGTACTCAACCTTTTGCCTAAGTAATTCGCCACACACAAAGGCATAAGCACTCTATTTGCCACCCATTAACTTTTATAGACCTGTGGTTGTTTTGTTTTGATTGGTTGTTTGGTCTCGCTTTTTTGCTCTGAGACAGGCTCTTTAGTCGACGTTCCTTTTGATGCGAGCTCACGAGTGTACTTACGCACATAAACCACATAGACCAAGACCCTTCCAGTTCATATACTCAAGCATACACGTCGTGCAGTCCCTTTGGTTTATCGATTCAAGCCTTGAAAGACTCCTATCGATTTCGGCATTGGAATGGCTGATAAGTTCGATCTCCCCTGGCCGCTTAAGTCAGCTAACACGGTTGTCCCCATTACCCTTCTGCTCCGCGAGGAGACCTTAGGTCGGATTTTGCAGGTACATATTCAGACACCTTAATTTGCGAATAATGATTACTCCTTTCTCTGTAGTAACAAATATTGAACAATTATTAATGAACATGTATTTTAACGTTCTAGGATAGTCACATAGAATGGCAACATTTATGAACAAATAATTCACCTCAAAAGAACACTGTCTTTTCCTTGATATTAATATCACCTAAATAATCGACCAACTCAGAAAAATCCTTCAGAGCGTACTTAACTAAATGCTTTTGAATATGATCTAAAACTTTCGTCAACCACTTAGCCAGGTTATGTGTAGATGATCGACACATTGATAAAATTGGACGTAAAGAAATGTTTGATTTATAGATTTCAGGTCAGTCAGTCTGCTGCAACGTACGTATATCAGTTCAAGTCATCATACCACATTAGAACAGAGATGGAATTACCAGTTCAAAACCCATAGTAGTGGGGATTTTAGCATTAATAACGTAGTGGTAAGTACTCAGGTTCGAAGATTTGATTGGAAAAGTATCCAGTGAAATCAACTTGAAAAGAAAAAAGGTCATAAGGAATTCAGAAGACTAGAATTGTGGAGAAGACAAAAAACGGATGCACCTGCGCCATTGCAAATGATTTAGAGCTCTTTCATTCAAGGTCTCCAGTAATCGGTTACTATCATCTCGCGGACACCAACCAGGTAGTCTACACTTACCAACAAGACTCAGTCCACTTGTCAGTGACTTCATGGATTTTTGCCATGTTTTGATTTAGCTGCCTCTAGCTTTCTGTCAGCCTATACCTACACCGCAAATACATAGTTCGTCGGGGTAGTCGATGGGCTAGACATATGTTAAAATATGTCCCAACCACCTCAACTCATAAAGATTCACTATTGATCTTCCATCCTAACCTAGTACTCGTTGCTTACTCAGTTGCTCTAGGATATACTATCGATGCTTCGAAGACACTTATGATCGAATGCTAGTGACCTCCCTACCGTAGCTGCTACCTTGACACGGTGGTCTATCTTTCCTATCGTGATGACCTAGTTGAGCTATATTGGCTGGAACATATGTTCCTGAAGGTTCTATCATGCCAGGTAGGTCGATCGGAGACTAAAAGCAGCAACTCAGGGTCTGAGGGCAAAGTCGTACTGCCGACCGTGCAGGGGTGTGACAGCAGTATGATCTTCCCCCTGACAACCAACAACTGCAGCGATGCTGCCTTCTCACAAGGAAAGAAGGTGTTAGAAAAGGTCCGATTGGTTCTGCAGTCACGCTACCAGATCTCTCGAACCAACACTAATCCAATTTCCTTTTCACGCTCCTCAAGAAATACCCTTTCCCGGTATGGGCAGCCGGGAATTGACATCCGCTTTCTTACCCTTAACAACACACCAGCCCAAATTGGTCTCAATCAAATCCTTACTACACCTCTTACTAATGCTTCTTTCGTCTCTTTATCACCGCACCACTGATGCAAACCATTCGAGTTCAAGAAACATAGTTTCTGGTCTCCTGAAATCCTGTTCTAAACTACATGTTGCAGCTTTTAATGTCCAGACCTAATACAGAATAAAACAACAGGCTTCCTTAGCTAGGACTCTAGAATCTCGCGCCATCGATGTATGCTGCGTCTTCGGAACGAGCATACAGGATCCGAGTTGTGTTATTAAAGTGACCTCACCATGTCCAAATAAAGAACCAACTCAGTTTATGCTTCGTTTATCTGTGAGCCCTGCTGCTGTTTCCCGTAGGTATTGCATTAAGTCCTAAGGTAGAAGTAGCTCTCTTAGGCTGGAGACCTGTAGATGATCATTTGTGCGTTGTCCGACTAAACGGGACAGTAGGGACTCTGAGAGATAGATAAATTCACCGTTGCCTCTTCGTCGTCTCTGCCTACGCTTCCACTGACTGCGCCTCGGACAAGATAAAAGACGGAGAGAGAAAGCTGTCGGACCTCCTTCGAAACGTTAGGCGCTCTAATATAGTAATAGGGACTGGTGAATTTAATTCTCAAGTAGGTAGACTAAGCGAGAAGGAAAGTCACCTGTGTGAATCTTATGGTGTAGCGACTCAAAGAACAGATGATGGCGATCGTCTATCGCAGTTATGCTCAGATAAGCACCTATCTCTAGCAACTACTAACTTGAAGCATAAGTAAAAATTCTTTTTGACATGGCGACCACCAAATTCGTTGCATGCTGAACCAGTTTAGATCACATCGCTATCAGCCACCGATGGAGGGGCTAGATAGAAGATTCAGATCATGCTCTATTGCGAGCATGTATTTGTTTGCGGCTTCCTGAACGTAGGAAAGACATTGTGAGAAAGCCTTATAGGGTTCTACATAATGATAGGAAAGCTATGAATGTGTTTCAAGAACTGCTAGAAAAATAGTTAGATATCCATGTCACTGAGTACTATTACAAAATTAATCGTATCTGCTCTTAATAAACTATATCAGTTAATCTTTTTGGTTTTGATTAGTGAACATGATATCAATTCTGTCGTGTATTAAGAAAAATGTATTTCTTTTTAGGCTTATTTGTATGTTATTAGAGGATGTGATCTACAGTGTTGTTCAACGTTGCATAGATCCATGTTTCATGGAAGAGAGTGTAAGTTTCACCTTATTTTTTTCAATCTGTTTGTTCTTTAGGCATGATAGTACTCTAAAACAGATATTCAGTAATATATATATATATATATATATATGTTACATATGCTAATTAACGTTATCCTCTTTCTCCGTTTAACCTCAGTAACAATACTTTATGAATTTCTGAAAACCTACATCACTACAAATATTTTCAGATAGTTGACTCCAAATGGTAGATCGTTGCTTGTCAAACTACACCTGTACATTGTTGCAGTGCCTTTATGAAACGGTATATATTCATCTGCTTATATAACTGAAGTTTTCGATTTGGATTTCATTTACTCTTCTACAGTATGCTGATCTAATTCAAATATCCGGATAATTAAGCTCCCATGCATTTGCTACTCTACTTTTTCTGCTATTCAGACTCTCGTCTTCTCATTAGTAATTTCATGCAGTTTGTTCCCTTTATGAATTTAAATAAACCCCATTGTATCACTCCATCTTGTGACTTGTATTAGCTGAGATGTCAAAAATACAAATTTCTACTCACTGGAATACCACCATAAATTATAACTGTTTTATTGTCAGTATAGGGTTTTAAAGATTGTTGATTTCCATTGATCATTGTTAGACCACCATTAGAAACCTATAAGTACACCTGATAGCCGTTTTGTCCTAGTATGGGACTTATCATTATTACCTTTCCATTCAATGTTCAATTTATTTGATAAAGATCTAGTTACTCATGAGTAATACAGTTGTTATAAACGAATTTTACAACGGTCTTTCTGATCACCTGTGTAATTAACGGCGGTTAATTGCTCAAACATGTATCAATTTGCTATAAAGGTCAAGTTATCACTCTGCTTATGATCAAACAAGCTTTTTATTATGAATATTGTTAAAATTTCCATCACGTTTGGTCTTGTCCTTTTCATGTTCTACTTCGTATTAGTCTCTGATGTCTTTTTTCATTTATATGCTTCTATTTTAGGTTGTTGAAGCGATATGTGATCGAGCATAAAGTTGCTTAATTATTTCCAAATTCTTAATGGTGACTGATTCATTTCTTGGATTCTGTGTGTGACTTCATTTTTGTGATATTTTTTATTACTTATTATAGGATGTCATTCTTTATTATTATTATTATTATTATTATTATTAAAAATGATCGTCTTTTACTTGTGTAAGAAAATTTTTAACTGTAAAATTGCCACTTTTAATTATTTTCACATATCAAAATGTTACAAATTCCCTTTGTGTTGTTTTGCTTGTTATTTTTCTACTGAAAATCGTTTGTCGCTGTTTTTCCAATACATGTATGTGGCGTTTTTCATTTTAAAAACTTTAATTACCTACTTAATTTTCTGGTGTTATTTTGGATTTTTGTACATGTTTAATAATTTGCTTTTGTTCTAAAAATAAATTTTTCTGGTTCCATTTTTAACACTTCTTTTTTGTATAAGATTATTTGTAAACAGCGACGCGTTCGTGAAATCACTCAAATGCTTTGAAAATAATTAAGTAGTTGACATTCAGGATAATAAATATGTGTTGACTTTTATTGAAAACATCGTGCTCCAAAAACCTGGATAGGATAGCGAATAAATCAGTTTATAGCACCTGCCATCAATAAAATCCATTACAATTTGTAGAGTAACCCCGAGCATACTGGTAATAATCTTTCTGGAATTAAATAAATTAGTCTCTCAGAAAATAATATTGTCGTAAACCATTATGCTCTTCTTAGAGTACTGGATAAAGATGAAATGAAGGAGTAATAGTTTAATAATTATAGTCTGTAGTTAAACACTAAATTTCCAACTGAAACAATCACGTAACTTACGGTTGTTACGACGGCCTATCAGGATTTTCTATACGACCCAGTCCTGTACTCTCATTTTCAGTTGTTCTCCAGTATTTCTCTTGATGTATGCCTTCAATCCTCGGCATAATTGGTTCTTTAGTCTACCTCTTTTACTCTGGCTCTTAAGATCTCAAGTTACTGCCTGTCCCGTGACGTCGTTTGGTGTGTCCTATCCATCTCCAGCGCTTTTTCCTATTTCTTTCTTCAGCCAGAGTCTGGTTTAATCTCTGCCACAGTAGATTGTTGCTAATTGAGTCTGGTAAATGGATTCGCAGCATCTCGCGTGAACAACTGTTTCTTTTGGATTATACCTTACGTAGTTATCCAATTTTCAGCTACGTTCATCAGAGCCATCTTGGCGTTTGTGTTGAAAATTCTGATTTTAGTGATTGTTGACAGTTGTTTCGAGTTCTAGGTTTCCTTCACCTGTATTAATTGTGCCCTTGCTTCGTCAATCCACGTCTTTATATTTGAATCAGATCCCACTTGTTTACCGAAAATGCTGTCCAGGTGCGTTAAGGTTTCCACATCTCAAGTATGGTTTGGTTGGTGCTCGCTGTGTTGTCTCAGAGAGTTTACTTTTTGTCTTGGAGATGTTGGGACTTACTTTCGGCAATTGGATAAAATAGCTAGGTGACCTGTGAAGTCCTAATTGCCTAGCAATGTCCAAGCTTTTCAGTGAACCCCTTCTCCTGCAATTTTGCGTCTTTCATAATCTAGCAACTACTAGAAGAAAAGGTGAGTCTTTTCTGACAAAGGTCTTCAAAAGCAATAAAGCTGAAATCCCTCTTGAAAATGAGTACACTCAAGTTATTAGATAAAAGTAATAAAGACTTACGGCTTTTCACTAATTATTAAAATAATAAGACAAAATATACCAGTAGTAATTTGCTTACAATTCTTGTAAAATATTTGTAATTTAACAACGCAAATAAATAATAGTTATATTTTCTTTTTTTCTGGAGAAAAGTATTGATAAAAATAAATATTTAGTTATTCAGCTAAAATTCAGTTTATTCTTGCCAATTTTCACAAAGAAATGCACAGAATTCAGAGAAGTCAATCATTTTATCACAATTTTTATCAACACTTTGCATCCAATCATTTAGAGCGTCTTCAGCTAAACGACGATATCCTAGTTCTTGTAAAACGTTTCTGATTTCATCTAGTGATAATTGTCCTGATCTGTCTTGATCGAATTCATCAAACGTTCGTCTCCATAGATGAATACTAAAAATTTACGATAATTTTGGAAATTAATTTAAAGTGCTGAATAAGAAAACATTTAGTATCATTATGGAATAAAACATATTCGGAATTCTTTTGATCGCGAAGTTGCAAAATTCAACAACCATTCACTCATTTCACGCGCCAATGTTTATTATTTCATGTATTCGCTAGAGTAATGTGCACTTCTTTAAACTTTTGATTGCGAGTCTGTAATAAACTACTTAAAAAATTAGTATTAATCGGTACTTAAGAAGTGGGATTATTTTCGTTTGTTATTAATTATTTGATATTAATCCCACGAAAATTGTGATTCCATATAATAAGACTGATATTCTTGAAACTATTACGAGTTCGCCTTACTCAATAAACAGGATGAAGGTCAACGTTACAGTCACACGATAGGCTGTTCAAATCCGTTGTCCCAAGTCCCGCTAACAAAAGCAAGAAGTCATGATAAGGCGTAGAGAATGTATCCTAGAAGCATACAGAAAATACGAGATTGCCAAGCACATAAATCAAGCTTATTTACACAATGATAGAAACGCCCTTGGGAAAGCCACAAAATAGCGTACTAAAAATAAAATCCATCAACACATGACAGTCAAGGAGTTTCCGAGGTTGGGAATGTAAGCTGTAGGTCAACTAAGCGTCTCTGGCGCGAGAATTCAAAATTGCAGGATAAAATTACAAAATTAGGAGACTGTTCCAAGTGAATTCTGGGGATCTAACGCCCCCAACAAAAACTAAGCACAATGTTTCAAGTAAGATACTTAGGAATTCCGCAATGATATATTGCTTGATGATATCTAAAATGTTGAACAAACGATTTATCTATAATCAACAAACAGATAAAATGGCACTAATTAATTTTATGCTGTGTTTTCCCTTGTTTCATCAAAGCTAAGTGCGATGAAGACAGTTATAAAAAAAACCCTTGAAAAATCATTGGAGTGAAATATTACTAAGTTGGGTTTCTACTACGGAAAAGTAGATTTACCACTTAAATTAATCAATGAATTCCATTTCATTTCCTGGCCTCATGATTTAATTTAGTGTCGTTTCGATGTCACATAACAACGAACAATATCAATATAGAGTTATACTAAGATTATAAAGCTGTGATTTAAATAATCTGGTCACTAATACTAATAAGGGATGAAAGCTGTATTTATTCTACACGAAAATCATTGAGATATTTTTCATTCAGAAATGTGATATGGGTCTCTAATACATCAGTCTGAAACTAATTCATACGTATGTGCAGACGGCTTGGCAATATCAATGATTTGAGACCGTTCATCAATGAATAAATGATTTCTGATCCACTCATTTTTCCCCGTGAAACCAGCTCAACGAAATGCTAGTAGTTCGACAAAACATTATGCTTACAATCAGTCTGATAATTCAACTTGGATTGTTACTAGTTTGTCTATGTCAATAAATCAACTAATATCTGTTAAATCCTATAATAAAACCACTTGTTCGAATTAAATATTATTACCAAGATGTATCTCTTATTAAAGACAATAGGTCACTATAATGGTAACAAGAAATACGTAACCAAGATCAAAAATAATTAATTAGAAATAGTTTTTATCTAAGCAATTTTAATACCTACTGAAGATATTAGCCATTAAATCAAAATATGTCTTACATTATATTTCAAAGTATGGAAATCTTTCTTATTGATGAAAATGAAGTTGTAGTCACAGCTGAACTTTATACCGGCTGGAATCGTTTCTTAGCCAGGAATAATGTACTGATTATCAATTAATATAGATAGAAAATATCGACTTTTAGACTTCAGTATTTAAAGTAATTTATAATTTCAATGTTTAATACTCCAAACCAAAGCAATCAATGCTAACAGACACTATTTAGTTTATAGCGAGTTTCCTTATTTTCTAAATAACAAGGCAGAAACACTATGAATAACTATTACAAGAAGTTCTTTTGGACAGGAATGAGTACTGAGGAATTATAAGTGGACCTCGTCCCTGACACTAAAAACATGATTCAGTGCTATTCAATGGATGTCAGTCTCTCATACACAGTTGTAAAAAGCATGTTAAATATTGTTTCGAAAATCGGCTAACTTTAAAAAAGTCTGGGTCACATTGAATGTTCTTAGTTTCGAGAATTCCATTTTGTAACAAACTTATAATACTAAATATGGAAATTGTCATTTATTGTATCCATCTTATCTCCTTTGCAAACAATATAACTATTGTTTATGTTCTTCATTAATCGAAACTTTTTTATTCTTTGTAAAACTATTTAAGAATTTACGATTATGTGTATGCGGATTGGAAAAGATGTGGCTACCAGTGGAATATGGCACGAGCTTTTCTTCTTACTAAGAAGGACTCGTCACCTGGATGAAGCTGCATCCAAAGCATTTCAAATTTACTCAAGATAATGTAATCTCAAATATGAACTTAGTTACTTTTTAGTCCACTAAGTGTATATTTATCTAACAACCTGTTGAATACATACAAAATGAAAAGAGCTGTAAAGCCCTTACTTACGGACATACTTACTGACTTACTTATGCCAATTACACCAAATGGAGTATAGGCCACTGACCAGTGTTCTACATCCTAATCTACCCTGGGTTTCCCATTGCAGTTCTGTCCGAATGTTGTTTATTCTTCTAGTGTCCTTCTCCATTTTTCGGGTTAATGTGTTCTTCGGCCTTCCTTTTTTCCCTCAACCTTGAGAAATACAAGTGAGGTTTTGTCTTGTGACGCAGTTGGGTACTACTTTCCACAATGTGTGCCCTACCGACTTCCAGTGCTTCCGCTTGATTTCTTCCTCCACAGGTATCTGGTTTGTTCTCTCCCACAGCAGTTTGTTGCTGATGGTGTCTGGCCAACGAATCCGAAGTATTTCCTGTGAACAACTGTGAATGAATACTTGTATCTTCTGGATGATGGCTTTGGTAGTACTCCAAGTTTCCGCTCCATACAGTAGAACTGTCTTGACAGTTGTATTAGAAATCCTGATTTTGGTGTTGATTGATAGTTGTTTGGAGTTCCAGATGTTGCTTAGTTATAGGAATGCTGCCCTTGCTTTGCCGACCCGCGCCCTCACATCTGCAACGGATCCACCTTGGTTGTCGATGATGCTGCTCAGATATGTAAAGGTGTTAACGTACTCCAAGGCATCTCCATCAAGAGTGATTTGGTTGGTGCATGTTGTGTTGCATCAGAGAATCTTGCTTTATGTATTGTGAGACCTGCTGCTGCTGAGTCTGCTGCTACACTGGTCGTCTTCTCTGGCATTTGTTGTTGCATGTTCGAAAGAAGAGCCAGATAATCCGTGAAGTCCAGATCGTCCAGCTCCATCCTAGCTGTCCGTTGGATACCGTGCTTCCCTCCAGATTTTGACGTCTTCATAATCCAGTCGATCAGCAGGAGAAAGAGAAGGAGTGAGAGTAAACAATCGTGCCTGACACCGGTCTTCACTTCGAACGAGTCTGTCAGGTGTCCTGTGCGCACGATTTTGCAGTTTAATCCATCATAAGAATTACGTATGATATTGACCAACTTCTCAAGCACGCCGTGGTGTTGAAGACGGCTCCAAAAAGTTATACTATCCACACTATCAAATGCTTTTTCATAGTCAATGAAGTTGATGTAGAGTGGTGAATTCCATTTGTGCTTGTTTGAACAGCATCAGTGCTACGTACTTTGTGTGAGGCTTTTTCTTCATCCTAAAGTACAACAACCGCTCCCCTGAAGCTAGTCTTAGTTGTCCACCATGCGTTCAATGCGTTTCACTGATTCCAAACACTTGCAGGTTGTATCATTTTATCTGTGCAGCAATACGGAATGGTTTTCTGGTCTCCCACAATGTTCGAACATTCCATGTGCCTAAGAGAATGGTTGCTATAGTTGTCAGAAGGGGCATCGGCCCCGTTACGGAACTCGGCTCTCATCATGAGATGTCATGACTCTTCTGAATGAAAACCCAACTCCCAGGGCAGAGTTAAAATAGTTTGAATTAATTTTTCTACTTAGCGGTTTTATAGCGTGTTTTTCTACGGGATGGGGTCGCTGACCCTCCTCCTTTATGCGGGCTTGGAACCTGTAGTAGCTACATAGGGTCTACATATGCAGTTTGCAATGCCTGTAACTAAATAAAATATTTGAAATTGAAGGTAAATAAAATAGTGTTATAAATACAATTTTTAACAAGTATTTTTAAATCTCTACAAATAAAAATGTACTTATTTCATTAAACGATATATCTCATTGGGTGATATTAACCGTCCTTTTTCAGTGCTCAATATAAGTGCAAAATCTTTCATTTTCAAGAATTTTACCGTTCATTTGGTAGATCAACTCTGCAGATTTCATTTGAAACATCCAAAGTCATCTAAATATAATTTCTATGTATACACCAACAAATGGCATCCCATTTTACTGGATAACAAAAGCGAATAAAGTGAAAGTAAGGATTTGGAATGAAATCTACGCATGAATTACATACATGCTAAGCATATAAAAAAGCTGGTACATATGTTGGACATTAAAAGACGGGTAGTTTGCGAATTCATGGACGCGTGTCCTTTACACTGTGAAAAATGAAATCTAGTTTCTTAGTACTACCATACAGTTTTCTAACGTTCAACATGAGTACTGTCTGTATACAACTAAATCTAGAAAACAAACATAATTTTAATATTCATAGTTAAAATCATGAATCGATCTGAGATAGACCGCCACTGAAAACCTATAAGCATCGGATGACCATTGGTTTTAGTATGGGAGACCCCGTAGTGCGAAACCATGACCCTGCATATAGGAATTGAACCCAGGAACTCACACGGGAACATTTAACTTCTAGACCGATGGGCCGGCATCCAACAGTACGAATGTCGAATTTCAGTTTATCTTTAGCCTTGCGCAACTCTTATCCATTGCCTATGGTGGATAACTGTTTCACACTCGACAAGAATTGATCTACCCAGCCTTATAACGTATTCCTGGGGTTCT